TGGATCGCTTTTTGACTGACTGCGCGGTTCCAGATATCGGGAGGTCGTGTAAATGAAGGTGGCAGCATCAACTACTTTTTGCATTTCGCGCTAGCCCTGGAGTATATTCGGCAGGTAATCCATCGCATTTTGCTGTACTCACTATTATATGCTAGTCTTTCCCCGCATTCATGATGGACACGGTCAGTGACTCTTCGTCACTCCAAGGTATTGACTGGCTGACTCGGGTTTTCTACAGCTACACTCGGCGCGTTCTGTGACAAAGGTACACGTTATTCGATCCGCGCTTCATTGACTTTTCCGCGCATGCATCGCGCGGGTATCTACTCCAAGGTACGCATGCCATTCTATTTACTCCGCTGGCTAATGCATCGCGTTAAAAGGGATATAATGCAAAACTGTATACGGAGGTACAGCATGCTGCCGACTAAAACGCCGCCGTGCCACGCATACAATGTCTACCCGAGACGGGGCAATACCGACTCGCGCGCAGGCACTCCCGCGATCGACACGCCGACACGACGCGTCTCGCACGCGGGCGCACCACGAACGCAGACGCCGTGCGCGCAGTCGTCTGCCGCGGACTCGGACGTCCGGCACGCTTCTACTCCCTCTCGCCTGACCACTCCACCTTGGGCAAGGCCAACGCGCAGGTGTACTATACCGCGCGATATGTGCGGACTGGGCGCCTGACACACAACGCTGCCGATGCGGCCTTGGCAGGGAATGGGAATTGGCGTTGTCGTGCGCGCTCGGGCTGGCTCGCTGACGTGGCGCCGCGCCGACTTGACGTGGGCGCTTTGCCAGCAGTGCGGGAGGCGCTAGAACGACGTCAGATGGTGTAAGGGAGAGTGGACTGGACTCACCCGCACCATCGCGCCTGTTGGCGGCGCGCAGCGCCACCATCAACCCCTTCTTCAGTATCCCACTTCGCGTCAAGGCTGGGCGCTTGGCAGAGCCCAGTCCAACTCCCTCAGCCGAATGTTAGCTTCTCCTGCGATCCATTCGGCCGCGCACTTCCCTTTCTGGTGGTCTCTGCCCGTTGCCCGGATGCTCCCTGGGCTGCCTGGCACGATGTCGCGCTCGTCGGCGGCGCGCGGCGATGCCTGCCAGTCTTGGAACTCGTTGTTTGGACGCCCCGCGAAAGCTCCGTCCACATCGCTGCCCCCGGCCTTCCAACTCGATATCTGGACCTCACCAGAACCATTCCACGGGCCGTGGATGCGCACGGCGGCGCGAAGCTCTGCCCCCGATCTTTCTACTCGGTCTTTCAACCTCGCGCTCAGCAGCGGCGTGGAGTGCCGCCCTCCAACTCTCACCTTTTATCAAGGCCTCTTGCGGACTATCCCACCCAATTTCGCCACTGCACGCATTCGGCGCGCAGCGCCCCACCCCTTGTTCTCTATACGACATCCGGCATTCCCGCGAACCACCTCCCACCACCAACTCCAATATCGCGCTCGCTGGCGGCGCACAGTGCCGCCCCAGTTTTGTTGACGCGACATTCGGGCTTCCTGCCAACTGTGCCTCGACTTTGCCATGCTCCCCGCCCCTCGAGCGCTCGGTGTGGACACCATTCGGGGACTAGAGAGAGACAGTGTGATGGACATGTCCAGATTTGATCGCTTGTTAGGCCCCGGAAATAAGCGTGGTGCTCTCGTTCTTCCAACGCAAGAGCACCGTGGCACTGCCTTCAAACGAAACGATGTTCGCTATGAGGTTCACTGCCAGCGGTAGATGGTCCGTCAAACGGAGAAGCTCGTCGATCTCGGCGTCGTTGTGGGTGTCGTCTGCGATGTCGAGGAATGTTTGGCGGGCGGCAGAATACGTTAATGGCTTTAGCGGTGGCAAGAATGGGCGGGTCCAGCGCACTTTTCCGGGACGCTCTGCCCCGCGCATAGTAACCTGTCCAGAAAACATAAGCGAATTGAGTGAAATCAGTGACACAAGCTGACCAGAAGAGCCACGTGGGGGAGATCAGTCAAGAGGGACAAAAATTCTTCGACTTGAGAGCGGGAAACAAGAGGCTCCCAAGGAGTCTCTAGGTTGTCTAATACCAGTAAAGTGGGCGGAGCGATGGAGAGATGCCGAAAAATGACCTTGGTCATATCTTGAGACGGCTCCAATTCAAGATGAGGCCCCATAATAGATACGAAGTCAGTGTGCGTCGTCGCAGAGTCGCAAGTAACAAAACATCGGCGAGGATATCTCCCGACGATGTCCCAGTGGTGTATCACCGCGGTTGCAAGACTACTCTTGCCTATCCCGCCGGTTCCCAGAATGGCAATCCGAGCAGATTCACGGAGAAGGAGTTCAACCGCTTCCTGCAACTCAGAATCTCGGCCGTAAAATATTTTTGGAACAGCTGGCAAGACGGACAGAGAACTTGAGCTGACGTACGGAAGGAGATAAGTAATGCTCTTGTATACTGAACCTAGCCATCCCTGTCTCCAAAGTTCGAAAACCCTGTGGACTACAACAAAAGAGCGATCTGTAAATCGATCGGAATGTCGGTAGAAGAGATCCTCACCAAGGAAAAGTTGCCGGAAGAGATTGTCGCAGTTCGAGCGGAGACCAGCTCCAAGAGCGCATTGTACCGAGCTTCCTCGCCTTTCTGTAGCTCTGCTAGCCCAGCCATGGTGGTGGCACCAGTTTGCACCTGGAATATTTGCGCAAGGTAAAAAGAATATCAGGACTTGAAAGGCGTAGATACTCACAGAAAACAGTTCAACAGCATGCTGAAGCCCCGTCTCGCATTCATCAAGCTGTTGCGAGTTCTCACCCTGCCGAAAGAACCACTTGATCTTGCCCATTTTCAATTGACCTTCCACATATGAGTGTATTTTTGAAGCGTTCTGTAGGTCGAAAATTCGGGGAACGTTGGGCACTATCTGGGAGGAGGACGCACTGTGCAAAATTGCCTATGTTATGCAAGATCGATGGTGGAAGGACATCGCCTGTCTTGGAATTGACACAGAGATCGACGATAGCCCACAGGAGCTCGTTTATCTGTTCCACCATCTGCAAACACCCCTGCTTGTTGACTTTGACCGCCTGATCAATCTTCCCGTCAGAACCCCGGATAGAGTCAAGGATAATTATACGCACTTGTACGTTGCTCAGGATTACAAAGCAGATGGCGGAAACGATATGAAGAAAGGGCACCTGGGACGAGCCCGATATGTCTCGGAGAGCACCAGCGGCAACGGTGGCACTCTGGAGAACGTTGTCGGTCCAGGTCCGGGATTTGAGGGGTGCATTCACTGGGGGCATCAGAGAAAACGTAGGGAGATCCACCATGCCAAGCAATCTACTAATCGCTAGCGATATAAATACTTGATGAATCGAACAAGGACCTCGGGGGTCAGAGAATTTCATCGGAATAAGAATCCCCCGGGTGCGGCTTTACACCATAGTGACTGTATCCATTCTCATGCGCGGTTGTCTGCTGAGAAAATAATCAGGCTGAGTGCAGAATTGGAAGGAAAAAGATTCGCAGACGGGAGAGCAGTACCTTGATTCGAACAAGGACCCCAGGGTGGTATTCTCAAAGACATCCTACAAAGATCCCGTGTGCAGCATTACACCATACTGCCTGGATTAGTTCGGATAGGTGGGCAAAAAAGCGACAGTGAGAACAGATTTAGAATTGGGCGGCAAAAGATTTGCAATAGCAGGGGGGGATAGCAGCACCTTGGTTCGAACAGTGACCTCGGGGGTCAGATGGCAACTTGATCAGGACAAGAATCACCCTGTGCGGCATTACACCATACTGCTTGCATCAACATTTCCACAAGCGATCGAATATATAGCTGGGTCAATGATCAGAGTTGGAAGGAAGCACAAACTACCCGCTAGACTCGAACAAGGACCTCGGGGTGCACAAATTATTGATATCTCACCTCAAGCTTTCCCTGCGCGCAGCGTTACACCATGCTGTTTGCATCCACATTTCCACACGTTCGGAAAATAATCAGCCTGAGGGCAGAGGTAGAGGGAAAAAGATTTACAGAGGCAGCACCTTGATTCGGACAAGGTCCCCGGGTCCGAGCCTCAGACCAACACAGGAATCCCTTGATTTGGGTCACTTTTCTTTCCCATCTAGCAAGAAGGGGCGGTAGATGGAGTGCCAAAAAATAAGTGTATGCACCATGCGGCATGAAAAAACCTTGCCAGATCACGGAAGAACAGCAGCGCCTTGGTTCGAACAAGGATCGCGGGAGATAGGTAGCATCGATCTGGTGATGTTGTATCGGTAGTACACCACACTGCTTTTCAGTTGGATTGCGAGGTGAGAAGGCAAGGATGAGGTTGAGATAATGAGCCACTTATAGCCACTAGTATTGTGAGAGCGAGAGCGCCGGCATCAACGCCGCTAGGTTCCGTGTGAAACTTGACGCAATTGAAGGTCTTGAAGTGTCAGTTGCGACGAGGACTCGGACGTTGCGACGCCAGATACCGCGTCTGTGATTCGCCGCCGTTTGCACCTTCCAGATGGCAGGTTCTGCCCCAGGGTGCGCCACTGCACGCACGCCAGCTGCATGCGAGAACAATTGCGAACAATTGACGGTTAACAGCTACAGAGGCCGAAATCGGAAACCATGACACACGCTAATTATGGCTCGGTTATTGCCGCGATGATCAATTGGAGCTTACTGAGCGGCGAGCTGCCTCCCACCGTCATCTATCTCGTCGCCAGCCACATTGCTGGCGCCGCCGCCTGTCTGTCTGGCACTACCAGCGTTTGCGGCATCGCCACCGTCCCAACGGCCGTGAACACCAGTACTAATCCTCCTCGCCATGTCCTCCTCGCGCTCGTCCTCGACGCAAAGTGCCCACAGCTCTGCATCTCGCACCTCCTCGGCGTCCGCGTCGTCGTCGTCGATCTTCAGCATCCCGCAGACATTCACCGACTCGGATGGACTGCCTTCACCCTCCGCCGCACCGACGGACGACAGCCAGGGCTCAGGCTCAGGCTCAGGCTCGCCCACCCTCCAGTCATCTGCGTCGCTTTATCGTGCGTGCTGTCTAATTGTATCTGACTGTAACTGACTGTCTCCCCCAGTCTACACCTTCCTCGCAACCCTTGTCCTCCTCCTCGGCGTCTCCGGCGCCATCGTCATCCGCTCCCTCCTCCTCCGCCGCCGCCACCGCCGCATGGTCGCCGAGGCCATCGCCAACGGCACCTGGGTCCCCCCCGTCCCACGCGTCAAGGTCGATTTGCGCAAGAAGCCACGGCTGTGGGATGCGTACCTTGGCTCTCCTCCGACGGGCGCAGTAGGGGAGAAGGAGAAGGAGGAGTGGGACGCGATCATGGTGTGTTCCTTTCTGTTTCTTGTATCTTTTCCCCGCTCTTTCCTACCCCCTTTGCGTTTCACTTCCGTGCTCCGACTCTCCTCCCTCCCTTCCACTCCGCTTTTTCTCCCCGCCCTTCCTTTCCTTCCCCACCCTCCCTTCCTTTTTCTTGCCCCGTCCTTCCTCACCACTAACAACGCCACAGCCCTTCGCAGCATCCTACACGCCCGCCCCACCGCCCGAGCTCGCGGAGCCCGAGCAGCCGCGCGTGCGCGTCGCGGTGCTCATCGCGATGCCTGCGCGAGAGCGGAGCGCGCTGTATCCTTCGCTCACCCCGAATTCCGCATCCTCCCCGCCAAGTACCGCAACGCCGAGTTCCGCAAATCCGCTGTTACACCAACATAGCGAAGAGGAAGAGGAGGAGCTCCCGTACCTCGAGGTCGGGCTCGTGCACGTCGGCGTCGTCTCCGCCGAGTCTGCGTCCGAGGCGGAGTCGGAGGGCGGCCACGGCAAGGGGAAGCGCGTGAGTCGGGAGGGGGAGGGGAGCGAGGGCGGGTAGCGCTGCGGTGGTCCAGAAAAACATTGCACAATATTAGTGGTGAGATGTTACAGGCGCGGTGATATGATACCTTGTCAGTATAGTATACATGGGGAGGGGGTATATGATATACATGTAGATGCGACCGAGATCGGTGGGCGGGAGCATATTGTAAGTGGTATATGGGAAGTTCAGACTCGGACGACAGTGGGTATTAAGTGCCTTGGAGAAAATATCTTCATGAAGTCCAGCGGCTGCAGTGCTTTCGATAATTATTCAAAGTTTGTTGCTCGGAGGATTAATATTTTCGGAACGGAGCGAACCAAGCAGAGGTGTGGGTACAATGATTGCAAGATGTATATTCATGAAAGATCTGTGGCCGAGGAGTAACTTAGAATTACTGGGTTGATTGTATCATTGCTGGGTGCTGTGACCCAGTTCGAATCCGGTGTGGATCATTCATTTCAGCTCTTTCATTATTCTTTTTTTTTTCAAGGCTTTTGAAAGGACGAGGAAGCGAGGGAAATATATTAATAACAACAGGGACAGTGCAGGAAAGGGAGAGGATGCATGGCTAAGGAGCTCTGCACACTTGTTGAGTTCAAAGATAATTGGTTGAATGCGGAGTGGGTTCGAGTCCCGAGTGGATCGTTCCACTTGGACCTCATGTTTTTTTGACAGCACAGTTGTACTAATTTGTTGAGAGATAGAAACCATGTCGTGCGGAGCGGGTTCGAGTCTGAGTCCCGAGTAGATCGTTTGCCACTTGTTTCGAGAAGTTACGTTTTTTCGCTGCTCGGAGGATGTTAAACGAACGAGGGAGAGAAATGGGTGAGGGAGAGAAGGTCCATGCCAGCTGAAGAAGAGAGAAAGAGAAAAGAAAAATATTGGATGGACTACTAGTAGACCAGCAACAAATGCATCCGCGGTTTATCTTTCTCCGGTACGCCTCTTACTTCCAGAGTGTGAGTGTATCACCACGGTTAGGACTCGGTGGAGTGCCCAGTCTTGCCGCTCACACAGCCACTGCGCACACACACAAAAATACCGGGCAACAAGATATTTAACGTCTCGTATGCGCCTGAGGCCTGAGGGATCGGCCTCGTTTCCACTTGAGCCAAGGTGGAAGCAGCAAGAAATGACAAGTGTATGACATACCCGTTCGGATATGTACGACTCGGACACTCTCATGCTTTTGAGTTCTTCCAGTTCGCGCTCCCTCTTTTTCCAATACCGGCTAATATAGCCTGCTTCAAGCATTTTCAAATCCATTTGTGCCTTGGATCCAGCGGCAAATGGCCGGAGCGCCTAGCTGGGCTGCAAGACAAAAGAGCCGTCATTGACGGTTTCAGTTTCGACCGACGTGAATCTTGGCGCATTCCATTGGCAGGGGGCGTGGTTAAAATCCGGCAGCGCCGAAGCCGATGCTCTTCGCAATCATCAAACGGCCGTTGTGCGATTGGGACCATCTGACCGTCCCACGGATTCAAGTCCTGCTCCAAGCCACGCCGACTGGATACGGACACGGTGGATGTCACCTTCCCCTTTGGGGTGTGCAGTCACTGGGTCTGTCACCGCGTGTCACCTTGCCGCGTTGGGGGTGTGTTTTCCCTCCTACCCTCTAAGAACAGTCCGGGGAAAAAAATGAACACATGGGAAGTTTTATATGCCGCAAAGTAGTCCGCCGAATATTTTCCAACTGTTCGGAGTGAGTAGTGAGAGGACTTTCACCAACCTGTTCTGATGGTCCCGTACGAGTCCGGCAATCTTTTTTCATTGGCTTGTCCATCTCGCATCCCTTGGCTATTTTACAAAGCTATGAGCGAATACTACATGAAGCGATACCGGAAGAAACCGGAGAGAAGTAAGCTCAAGTTGGAGAAAGAAAATTCAAACTCTGCAGCATTCGGCGAAAATCAGTACGTGACAGACAGGGTGACAGACCCAGTGACTGCACACCCCAAAGGGGAAGGTGACAGACCTTGGTCCGCCGTGGGAGGTCCAGAAGTACACGCGAATAAGATGCTCATAATTGGTATCAGATACCAGTAATAAGAGGCATCGCGCCATTCTTGTCCACCAACCCCCACCATGTCGCTCGCGCACTCAGAGATCCCGCTCCTGGACTTGACGCTCGCACAGCGCGACAGGCCCGCGTTCATCGCGCAGCTGCGCGGCATGCTGATTAACGGCGGGTTCGTCTACCTCGCGCAGACCCCCGTGCCGACGGAGCTCGTCGACAAGATGGTCGACTCCACCGCCAAGTTCTTTGCGCTGCCGCCCGAGGTGAAGGACTCGGTCGACATGAACGACTCGGCGCATTTTAATGGGTACCTGCGCAAAGGCAACGTCGAGAACCCCACGCGCGAACAATTTAACTATGGCGACGACAGCGTGTCCTCGCCTGAGGAGGGCACGCCGGAGTACCACAAGATTCACGGAGGCACGCCTGTGAGTGCACTGGCATCTGGTTATTTCTTGTCGCGGCTGATTGCGGGTCCTAGTGGCCAGACGACGCTTTGTTCCCCGGGTGCCGCGCGGCAATGATAGACTATTACACGCATCTTAAGAACCTAAGCCTCCAGTTTACGGGCTATGTCGCGGAGGCGCTGGGCCTCGCACCAGACGCATTTGAGTCGCTGTTTGAGCCGGACGTCTCCAAGCGCCAGTTGCGCTGCAAGATTCTGCGCTACCCTACCTGTCCTCCGTCCACGACAGGGTTCGTGGCGCACACCGACTCGAACTTCCTGACATATGTGAGTG